AAAAAAGAAGGTACTAAATGAGGGACTAACGTACGGACTTGAAGTCCCAGCGAGGTCAGCCCCCAATACACTTCCAACATCTGTAAGGCTTCAATAGTCAAACCACGGAAAGAAAAACTCCAAAAACTTAAACAATACGAAAACTTAAACAATCCCATCTTCTCACTCACCACCCCCCTACCCTACCCCTCCCAAGCCCCTTAGGCCAACTGAGTTTTTCAGAGTAAACCCAAGACTGAACAAATAACATTACCTCTGACCACGGCTGAAAAGTTTAAACTAAAACCGCCTACGCCCGCTAAAGGTTTTCCTTCCACAGAAAAATCAACAAATAGGTGGCGTCCAGTAGAATAAAGAACATCAGGATGGACTCTTCCGGTATATGATTTTCCGAGACGCTTTGATGCTGAGCTGATACCATCATGAAATGTGAGTTTATCATAATATTCTTGCAGATTGAAGTCATTAAATGTAACTTTCAATATGTATGCTCCATCAGTGGAAAGTTCATCCGGTACTTCAAGTATCCACCTGCACCTCGATGGTAACAAACTGACAGGAGCCAAAGGATAGCCTGGATTCGTCAGTGTCTTCTGATGTGATACAGAAGCAGTAAGTGCTTCACCGTTGTAAGGACAAACTAAAAAGTACAAAAATACAACGAATGGTTAGATTGTGTAACATTTGATCGTGTAATGTGATCATCCGGGTGAGAGTACTTCTCAGGAAGACCATTTTTAATAGTATTAACTGACGTTTTTCAAAGTGCAATGCTGTTACCCGATGAACGAAAGTCTCTGGTTCACTACTAAGAACAGAATTCCTCGCCAAATGTCAGCAACTACACCAAAAACAAACTGACAACGAAACTGACCAATCACAACAACCTTACGCCATTTGAGTCTTACAGCCGACAAGATCACGGAAAAATTGACCAATCACCGCACAATAACCCGATTTATGACACTCAACCAGCAACAATTCTTCACTCGGCTCGGATGATGACTTTCACTGAGGTGGTAAAATCTCTCAAGTGGACGATCAGACTACACGATTAATCCTATCCATCACAGTTTCCTACAATGTGATTGACGCATTAGCTGCTTTACTTTTCATTAGTTATTCTGTAGAGATGTAATCGGACAGTGTTATCAGGCAGTGCAATCCGACAGTTGGCTGTAATCGGAAAGTTAAAACAGCCAATTATACTAGTTGCGAATGAAAAATGATAAAGTGAAAAAGGACCCGAATATAACGATGACACACTATGGAAAGCAAATGTGGGCTAAAATACAGTACATCCAGCTCATTCATTTGCGTATCATGATTATCAATAGCTTCCATTCTACGCCTCGTTCTTCGAGAGCTGCCAACCTGTGCAAATGAATGAGCCGAGTATACTGCAATTGCTCTCAAATCCGAAGCAAATAATGCTTGATACATGTATAAGCAATAAAAGTTAAAATGAGAAACAATTTAAATCTACAGATTGTGGCAACTTCAACAGACAAAATTTTCGTGCAAGTCAAACATCAGAAGCCTGCAGGGTTTCTTGGGAAATGTCATCGGAAAAAATTGGTCTTAAACCCTGGTTGAATGACTTTCATATGTAGAGGAGTGTAGAACCTTGGTCAAGTTTTGTTAAAACTCTGCACCTCTTTTTCAGTATCAAGCTTCTTTTTGATCATCTATTTAATCAATCAATACACAAATATTCTATCATGCAGTCCAATTTTATCATTTGCAATATTGACAGGGGCGAACGGGAAAATTTTACAAGAATTGCAAGAAGGATAGGAGCTTCGTTCAGTTATGGAAATTGCTGCAAAATTGAAATTGACTCAAGGGAGGAGGTATCTTCTACTGAACGGAAAAACAAAATCTTTGCCGCCGTCATCCACAATGGCTCCACAGTTTTACACCAATTAACTTACTTAGTTTATTCTCTGCTGTGAAAGTAGCATTAAATCCTTTGTAATATTGATACGGGGTGGAGAAGAAATCTGATCTGAAACGCACTAGCATGTACCGACCACTCGAGCGGATAATCCCTGGATTTGTAAGACCACACAATTTTCCTCTGCTTCCACTGTCACTTTTGTTCCCCTTAAGTACCTCTACATAATCACCACTGCAATACCATAAAGGAGAACCTGTCGCCAAAAAATCCATATCAAATAGTTCGAAGCTGAGTTTTACAATGCTCCCTTCTGGTACAGTAATGAGCCAATCACAGCTCATCCCTGGATAAAATTGGGAGTTATAAGGATCTCTTGGACTCTCAAACGTTCCACTAAGGCCATATAATTTGAGGTTGTTGTTGTTGGTGTTCCCTGGCAAGCATGTGTTGTTGGGACTTACAGCTGTGAAGATAACAGAGACATTTTCTGTAAATAATTTGACCTTTACAATGTGTATTGTCCTTTCAAATCAGACCCATTCCAGATTTTGGATATTCAAGGTAGTTTTAACTCTGGCAAACAGGAGCATACAGTACCTATGTATAACAACAGGTCAGTGTGTAACTCATTCCTTGAGGAAAGAATCAGGACTATCAGTATACCTCCCTTGCTCCTTTCAAACAATCACCTGTCCAATACTTTTGAAATTAAAGGCTTCCATTCCATATAGTACGAAAACTTTATCATAACAGTTGTTCATACAACAGTAAAATATGACCATACAGTCAGAGTGTAAATTAACCAACAAGTAACCCTTAACATATAACCAAAAAAGACCTATCTTTTTTCTGCATAACAAGAGGAGTCTCAAAATAGCACTAGGAAACTTACACAAATGCAGACCTCCAGACCATCAGTTGCTGGTCATTAAAATAGGTCTAGATTTCCTAATGAGGGGTCAGAGTAAAAGGAACAGGGCACCCTTATAGAGCCAGTTGGCTAAACATAAAACTTGAAGTAAACTCTCTCTTATGTAACATATATATTATTATCATTATTATTATTATTATTATTATTTACTCTGTTTGTTCTTAAAAGGAAGATACTCATGCAGGCACTAAATCATATGTATCTGTTAGTGCTGCTAACAGAGTTCAACTCATTCATTGACGCTTTTAATCATATGGGACAATCAAATGAATTAAACTAATGTCACTTACTGGTATTTTGTGCTAGTGTGGTCTTCGTGGTTGTCCAGGATAAAAACAGCACACCTAAATAGATATTAAATATAAAATAGAAATGAATTTTTAATCAGCAGCAACTAAAAATAAATTCTGCAATAAAACTGGCTACGGATATAGAACACACACTCTATGAACATACTACATGAAATCAACTCTTTGTTTATTTCATTTTGTACCCATAATTTACCACACTGAGTATTTATATAATATATACTTGTTTATTTTAAAGAATATATATTTGATGACAGAGTTGGCCTTAATACATGGACACAAGGGTGTCACTAAGTGGGTCCTGGGGTGCTGTGACTCCCACCCTTTTCTCAGATTAGTAAAATATGGAGTGGACAGAACAATCTGGTGAGTACCCTCTGTTTGACAAAGTGTGACCCCCCCCCTTTGAATAATCCTCACTACACCCCTGTGACAGGTCAATAAGATCTCACAATTCAACTTCAGAAATAAAAAACATGGAAACAGAATTGTGGCATAAAGAGTTTGCAACTTACTTTGTGACTTCCCCACAAAATGCCAAAACAGCATTTAACCAACAAATTCGTTTGTCAACTTTCTATTTTTTTTCTTGTAAGCTAGGGCTCTTACAGGGGCTGCAGCTTCTAAGAATTACAGATAGAATTCTAAAACTCTTCTTTTTAAAAAAAAAAAAAAAAGACATTAGAGCCCAGATCATACAGCCTCTGTTATAAAGGGAATTGTTTCTTTTTCCCAAGGAAGTTAAAAGTCATCAGAATGGGATTAACAGGATAAATTATTTGCTGATATACAAAACTAAGTGTAAAATGGAGCTGGTTATAAGGCAGGGTTATTGACTAGACAGGCATGTCATAGTCATATACAAGTAAATAATACACAAACAGTTGAAACTGTATTACATAGCACTTGTTACGTGCACGAATGACCAACAAATGTCTGCTAACAAAGCATATATGAAAATAGACTCCCGAGTACGATATATGGCACGCAACAAAAATGTAACAACAAGCAGTTACCCATTTTAACTATTATTTAATTAGTTTTACATTGTCTAATTTACTTAAGTTAAAGATTAAGTTAAGCAGTTCATAAAGCAGGCTTACAATCCTTCATGCCGCGTAAGTGTTGGTCGTCTTGATCAACTTCCAATTCCAACATCCGCTGACTGAAGACCACAGCGCTTGGCTTTCTTGATTCATGACTTTCCGTGTACACAAATTCTTGCGGAGGACTCCATAGTAAACTCTGTATTCTCTATCTTCTTCCTCTCTCGACTATTGTCTTTTTCATCTCTTTCTTCTCTCCGGATATCACAAGGTCAAAAGGTCATAGCCTCGTCCCATCATAGCTTCCAAAAGTTCAGTCAGCAAGCCACAAGGGTAAACCCTGGGCCAAATCTCCTTTGTACTCCTCACAAGCCAGCTTTTATACATTTACTTTAGTTATCTAGAATGTTCTATTACTATTTATAGCGTATTACAAGTTGTACTATTTTTGGAAACTGCTGAGTCACATGAAAGAAGTTTCTGGAATATTACAGATCATAGATAATTCTAAAAAAGTCTGGGATTGCGAGACAGATTCAGTCAAAATAATTCGATCCTCGTAACACACTGTATTAAACAGCACAGTATTGAGCGATCACTCTGTATAAAGCAGTTACTCTGTAAAAAGCAGTTAGTTGTTGAAGGCCCCGAAATTCTTTCCCCTCAAGCAATATTAATTTCACCTCTATTAAATTAATAGCCACCTCTATTGAAAGGTCATGGTCACCCTGTTGACCAGCTAATACAGACATGAACAGGAAGAGCTGGACAAACACAACAAGCAAACTTTATTCAGGCTGTCAACCATGCTTTCTACACCAAACACACAGATGCTTCTTCACATGTGCAACACTGCTGACTAATTGCAGCAGTCCTACCAACAACTCAACAGTCTGTTTCTATTGTCCTCTAACTGTACTGAATGGTCACCAAAGGGGAATTACTCAAATAAAAGTAAGAACAAGTCTTTAAGTATATTAGGTCCTTGTTTATCTCCAGAAATTGATGCTAGAATAGTATTTGCGAGTGAGGTTTCATACATTAAGTGGTCATTCATGGCTGAAAATGGCCATTTTTTACAATATTATACTCCTTTTCTAATTCTGTGGAGCCTGCAGTAAACAATCACCCTGTATTATTATTTACAATACCTCTATTCCATGGAACCACCGGTATTTACTAGCTGACCTTTATTAAGTGGTCACCCTGCCATTCCCCTGGGGTGACCCCTTAATACAGGTTTGATCAAAGAAGTCTATGGCAAAGTTGGTAATTCATGGAAGAGCTGTCAAGATTGAAATTTGGGAACAGTAAAGACAGTAAATGATTTTCAAAACACTGTCACCGTGCTTAGGATGATTAATATATAACATGTAACAAAAGGTGCCTCCAAAGCATCAGCTGCTGAATAATAACAGAACACGTCTGACATTCTACAAATTAATGATCGACGCTGGCACTCTTTTGATCATTCAGAAAGCCAGCGCCTAGCATAATTCTAAAAAACATCAACTTAGATAATTAATTTTATGATCTTGGTAAACAGCAACTTTGGCAGAATTAACTTGGATATATCAACAAAGTTGAAGTGGTAAATTGGCCACCGTAACGATTAAAAAAGCTGACGTTTCGAGCGTTAGCCTTTCGTCGGAGCAGAATTAGTCAATCAGAGGAAAGGGGAATTATTTTAAGAAAATGGACAGAAAAAGTACCACCAAATATAATAGGTAAGGAAAGGAAGAGATCACCTGAGAGCACTGGATAATAACTGACCTTCAGAGAAAGAGCCCGGCTTTCAACTGCATGACCCAGCCGCTAACAACATCAAATTAAAATTTGCATGCCCAGCTGAGCAACCGAACACGTTGGATGATTAGAAAAATGTTGGAGCTACAATTCATATGATTCCTTATGCATCGATTAACGCATTGTACTTAATCATTGTAAAGTACTTTGGCACGGTCTGTCGAAAATTTTTTCCGTTTTCTTAACGCAAGCCACAGGCCTTTTGTGTGTTAAAAGCTGATTTTCAAATGCTGCAGACGATCGATGGCTGTTGAAGTTGAAGTTCATTTGTTTGTTTAAGCAGGTTGATTAATTTGGCAGCTCTAATAGCTGATGTGGACCTGCTGTCCTAACCCACCCATCCCACCTCAGGAGAGGACATCCATCACACAGTAATCTCGTGTGTGGGAAATTAACATCTCCTGCCCCAACCCTGCAGGAGACGGGACCTCCATTTATTCGTCCCTATCCGAGAAGACTAGAATATCTAACCATTTCTTGATGTTATAGAAAGGTAGCAAATTCTTCTCAATTATTTTAAGACCTTGAGTGTTGGTCCGGCCGGGGCTCGAACCCTCGACCTCCCGCACTACAGTCCAGCGCTCTATCCATTGAGCTAACCGGGAGGCGGTAGTTAGTACTTTATTTCAAGTTTTCTTGCCTTTCGAAAAAAGATCTGAAAATGCAGTTCACGTAGCTGATAGACATAATTCTCCCTGATATTAGACAAGACTTTTACGGCGACTCTGACTCGTAAACAAAAGCGTACATGCAGTTGCGGACAATGTGCGGGAAGTCGAATTCTAACACCTCACGAAATCATAGCTAAAAGTTATTTAAAAATATACGGGAGTAAAATATATCTTAACAGGGAAAACATAAATAAATCATTACCCAATATTTCCATGGGGCGTACAATCTTCATGGGTAAAACAGGGGCTAATACGACGATTCAGCTCACCACACCAGAGCGAAGAGCACAGATTTAAGTCACGAATCTCCTCAGCTCCAATCCGTCATGTGTGGGGGATGGGTGGGAAGGGGACTGAGAGACGTGGACGAAGAGAGAAGATATGCCCTACCCTAGTACTCCGTTTTACGTTCACATTTAGTTTGCTCCATTCCTTTGTTGCTCTCGCAGCAAACGTTCGACCGCCTTCCTTAATTCTCTTATATCGAGGGCAACTTAAGTTGAGATTACAGCAACGGGTTGATCTATTATACGTATTAGAGCTTCTCATGAGTAAATCATTTATATATTCAGGGGTGTTGCCATTCAGCCTTTTGTAGGTTAAAGTGCATCGATTTACGTATGATTCAGCATACAAGGGAATCCGCTTTAAGGAGTTAAATAAGGCGACAGAATTCCGATCCCAATTGTGACCCGATGTTCCCCGATGCTACTTACTGTTTGTTTCGAAATGTTTTAGTAGTTCGACATTCACACTCGATACACAGTCGAGTTCTCACCTTTTGTGATTTCAGGCTTGTAAACACTACCACATTATGTTTTCAGCTCTTGCCGTGACACCACAAAAGACAGCGCTGAAGACGATAAACATCTCAATCATCTCAGGATTGAGCGTTTGCATAGATGTCTTAATAGCTGTGATCAGAATAAGAGCATTTTTCCGTTTGAATCAGTGATTTATGCCCAGTGGATCCGAAGATATAATTTTTTCAGTTCTTGTCGTGACACTACAAAAGATGATGAACATCTCAAAATCATGATGACCGACGCGTGATTTATATCACACTTTTCCTTACAGAAATAACTCAATGAAACCTTAAGGAAAATATTTTCTCTTTGGAAGGAGAGCATTTTACTGTGACTAACACCTAAGAGACCCGCTAAATTTTGCGAAGTGAGCAAGCTGCGAAATCATAGAGTGACCCTTTTTAATGGAATTAAAGAACGGTGGAACGGCAGGACAGAGGAACAGTGGAATGGCGGAATATCCTAAGACGCGGAATTACGGGATATCCTAGAACGCCAAATGCTTTGTTGTATAAAACAAAAGTCTAAAAAAGTGGATTTGCAATAAAAAGAGAAATTATTTATAATTAACAGGCAAAATTAAAAGGAGCACATTGTTATCAGGGAAATCATAAATATGTGAGAAGCACTGCATGTGAATACAAATCTCTCCAACACTACCTTCTTGCGTCATTACACAACCTTAATTTTTGTTCAATATGAAAATTTTGCTTCGACTTGTCTCGTCCTAGTCTCTCATGATTTCAAACGCGGTTTTCTGACTGCTAATAGGTCCGTAATCCCTCCTGACTCCCTCGGTGCCCGTTTTGTATCCAAGCTCTCTTTTCGGGAAAGACGCGGTAAATTAACGAGCCCAGAAAAGTACTTTTATTTGCCTTGTTTCATTTGAGATCAATAGTCTAAGATTCAAACACTTAAAATGACACGAAAAGGGACAGAATAATCTGGTTTTACGGGCTAAAACATAGGAAATTTATTATGGAATTAGATTTAAAAATATCACGTTGGGTCTGAAAGTTACCGGGACTTTCGAGAAACGGACCCCAGCTCTGGATTTCCTTTTTTTTTCTTATTTTTTCCTTACCTCAAATGCACCTTTTAACTTCAAATGTATTAACAGGGCGCTTTTATTTTTATACGAAAAAGTGGCCTGATACATGCTTTAGTTTAGCTATCAAAACTTGATACTGAAGAGGGAACCACCTCGTACCTTCTTACCTCACAAAACTCCCCCTACCGCTACACAGATCATTCTCGTTTTAATTTGAAGACAAGGGAGAGAAAAACAAAAGACACCTGAAACAGAATCCAAAGAAAAGAAATATGAAAAGGAAGAAAGAAGTACATAGAGATTACAAATAAGAACATTTAAGGCCGGTTATTTACGAAAAAGTCTAACTCAAACCACGGTTTTGTGCGTCTTCAGGCTTTAATTCTCTATTAGAGGGTTTATTTAATTAAATAAATGTCCTTCCACTGTTAGCTTAAACGCTGTTCACAAACATAAAAGCATCAGTTAAATTGTGGATTGTTTAGGATGCGGCTTTGTCAAAGAATTTTTAAACTTTGTTGAAATAATAAGACCTTAGAGTTTCGTATTGTGTTTTCGAAAACAGTCACCACATACCTTTTATATTTTCTTAAAAGGAGAGGAAGAGGAGAGGCCTAGAGTCCAATACGTGATTAGATTAACGTTATGGCCCTACAATGCGAGTCATTTTCGTGTGAAAAATTCTCGAGCGGAAAAAAAGTAAGATTATGTCTGGTTTTCGGAAGCAGCTTTATTTTTTATCTTATAAGTGCCCTTTACCCTATAAGTACCCTTTACCCGTTGGAAAGACCACCGTGACTGATAATGAGAGCCTCGGTATTCGCACGCTGTTTGTTTACAAAGGTTGTGTCCGTAGTAGATATTTACGTTGTCGAAATAGACATTCTTCAATTTATCATGTCGCGAAGCACAATCCTTGTGAGAGGATTTTTTCAGGAGATCGAAAGGCAGAAAACGTTGTCGAACCAGTTTTATCCTGTGATGACCATATTTTCTGGACCTAAACGCGTTGAGGAGGCTAGAGCTCAGCTCCCCAAACCCTGCTCCGCTGTCTATGAATGTCAACGCCATGATCACCCATTAGAGAACTCTTGAACACCTAAGTCATCTCTCTGTCCGTCTGAATAGGAAATGTTTATGTATGTAACCTGCAGAAGTAAAAAAATTGATAGATCACTGGTACATCAGGGTGCCTGAGGTATTTCATAAATAACACAAAGAGAATTCACTAGTTTGTGCATTCTGTAGAAGTCTTAACTCAGCTTACAGCGTTAGCTTGAATTGCCGGGCGACATGTCGAAAAAGTTTCAATTGGTGTCGCAGATAATCCGGAACTGCACCGGGTGTTCCTCGCTGCGCTTGTCTAGAAAACTTGCGTGGGTTATCCCTTAACCCTTTCACTACCAAGATGTCGATTCTCCTTACTGTCTGCGCACAATTCTTATTATGGGAGTTCGGAGAATTTAGTATTGGGTCAACTGTAAACGCCCTAATTGAGATCTTTCTTTATTGTCGTCTCTTATCTGCTTGGTTTTGTATTGATATTGTTGGGAGAAAATTCTGTCATGGTTACTCATGGAATTCAAAGAGTTAACCAAACAGATGCAGAGTTGAAACAGTTCATACCATACCCACTTCAGTTTCCCGCGCTTCGATTCGTTTTCGTGTTTATGAATAATTTGTTTTTATCAACTGAATTCTTAAAACGCAGTTCACATATATGATTTTCGAAAATTCACAGTCATTGATTCATTGCTTCACGGGTTCATTACGAACCAGCATAATGACCAGATCCCAGTTTGCTCGTTAGCTCGGTTGGTAGAGCACTGCACCGGTATTGCAGAGGTCATGAGTTCAAATACCGTACAGGCTTGAATTTTTATCAGGTCTTATTTTCATTACTGTTGAAGTAACGTTCATTATTGCGAATATCGCCTTCATATTCATGAGTCGATAATGTAAACTTCCTAGCGTAAAGAGGTTCTAAAACTGTCGTTTCGAGCGTTAGCCCTTCGTCAATACGAAGAGAGGAATTGTGGGTTGTGTGTCTATACGCAGAAAATGGAGTTACGCTATTGGCGTGAACATGGTAACGACAAGAGAATCTCTTGGTGGGGGAACCTCTTTGTGGGTAATCTTTTAGAATCTCTTGGTGGGGGAATCTCTTTGTGGGGAATCTTTTAGAATCTCTTGGTGGGGGAATCTCTTTGTGGGGAATCTTTTAGAATCTCTTGGTGGGGGAATCTCTTTGGGGGGAATCTTTTAGAATCTCTTGGTGGGGTAATCTCTTTGTGGGGAATCTTTTAGAATCTCTTGGTGGGGATCAAGAGCGCTGATAAATTTTTGCCGCAGACTGGGCATGGCATATGTTGCTTTGAATGATTGGGGAGATTAAACCGTATAGCTACTGGTTTGAATGCGTCCGTCTTTGTCATTGTTTTCCACGTCACGAAGGTGTTCTCGGGATCGGTCACCTAGTCTCCTCCCTGTTTCGCTAATGAATATCTTTCTGCAATAAGTGCAAGGGTTCTCATTGGCTCACTCTGAGATTTCCCATCTCTGATTGGTGGTTGCGTTAACATTGGTGTTGGTTTCTTGGCTAATTTAAAGCGAGAGTTTACTACTTCTAAGTTATCCATACCGAGGTCTCGTACAGGATTGAATGAAGTTTCGAATGGAGCTCTTTAAAAGTTGGGCGATCATACGGACTCTCTTGCCAGCACTGTAGCATAATGTCATATCTAAAGAAGAGGCAATGAAAGCAGAGTGGTTGCAGATTGAAATCATATGTCATCTGTTATGACTACACAAGCATGAATGCTAGAATGAAAGTGGTTACTTAGCATTCTAACATTTAAAATTGTTTCCAACAACATTCTTCATTGGAGGTGGTAAAGGGGGGGGTCAAGATCACGTTTCACGGAAGATAAATTGGTCTTTTCACAATTCACGGTCATTATTAATTACTGTCGAAACTACAACCAAAATCACTTTCTCATTTCACGGAGAATTATTTTGGAAAATCACGGTTCACAGCTGCTTATGAAATCACAATTCACGACAAAAAAACAAGCCGTTTCACATTTCACAGGAAGAAAAATGGGCCATTCACGAATCACGAAAATACCCTTTACCACCCTCTTCACTGAGGTGGCACTGCGAACGTCAAAAGCTAGGAGTGGCAGGCAAGCGTAAATAAAAATCGCTTGTTTTAACCCTTTACTCCCTGACATTAGTATGAGTGTTCTCCATACTGTTCTCTATACATTTCCTAAGAATCTGACAAGGAGAATTTGGTTATCAATCAAGAGTGTCTGTCGTTGTTGATCATTTCCTTTCTTCTCATGACCTTCATGTGTGATTCAGGGGGGGGGGGCAGGGGTTTCATGTGATTCAGGAAAGTGATAAAGGAAGGAGAAATTAGATATTAATCACTCTTAGAAGAACAACCAATAGGTTATTCAAGTGCTTCATTCAATTTTTTTTTATGTCAGCCTTGCAAGCGGTATGTTTTTAAATGCCATATGAAAAGAGAACATTTTATGTAGCCTTGGCTAGCACAAATAATCGTTTTTTCGGCTTCTTTGTCAACTGATAAAGGACAAAACTCGGGTGTATGTTAACCAGAAAATTTCTATCAGTTGTGGTGCAAAGCCCACAGCCATAACGCCTCAAAGCTTTCATGTTAATCGAGTAACTTACAGTTGTTTTGAGCAGTGTGGGGGTTTCTCAAGTCTCAATCCGTCCTGTAGCAAGCTGCAAAGTTCTATAATGCCTGTAGTTCCGATGTAAGGACGCTCACCTGCAGCACAAAGTTCATTGTCAATCAAGGGTAACATCCTTCTTTATTCGATGGCCAGGAACTTATTCTCCAAATCTCTCTTCGAAGGATGCGATCGACATTGCTGATCAAACCAACATTCTGGCATATCAATTGAATCTATATTGTGACCTAACATGCCGACGAACCCTGCAGCCCAAAAGCAATCGCACGCAAAATCGAAAGCTCTAAAATTAGAATCTCCACGGGAAATTCAGTCAAATGTATATCGTTTCAAAGTGTCGTCTGCTACCTGATTTTGCTTTCATGTTAATGTGCCATCAAGATTTTAGGCATCAGAGCGATACTATGGTTAGGAAAGAGGCAAGATACTACTTTACTACGTCTTCACTCACCCAGGGTGACGATTTCCCAGAGAACGACACCAAATGACCAGCTGGAAAAAAAACATAATATCGTATTTTGGTTTCGAAAGTTACAAATTAGCGTCCTTTAGCTACACTGACTTAATTTAATCGGTCACGCTTTTGACCCTCATGCATGACTTTCTTACTAAAGCCATAATCAACAGTCTAACTATTTAGCATTGTTATGTTTGAGTGAGTCAAAAAAGTAACTGGCAGATCTAAGGGACCTAACATTATTTACAGGGAGGGGGGGCTGGTAGAAATGAGGGGGGGACCAAAACTTTGTGTGCACATAGAAAGGGGGGACCAAATAAAATTCTGCAATATCAATACTAGCAAAACTGACTTTTTAATGTTTTAATTGGAGACTCTGATAAACAAAAGACTCAATCTCAATCTAAACAAATGGTTGACAATTGAAAGTCCTTAAAGTATTTCATCCTCAGATTTACTGCTTTCCCCTCTGTCACTTTCATCTCCCTGTGCATCACTTTTAAAAAGGTAGGATGGTATTCTTCAATTCTTCTGTAAGCATTTTCAGTGTCTTAGATTATTTTTTGAGTGCCAAGAGATTAATTCAAAGAATCATGGGGGGGGGGGGGAACCAATAAAAAGTGTGTCCCCAATAAAGGGAAGACTTAAAGTTTTTGAGAAGTTTGTTTCTCCTTTCCACCAGCCCCCCCCCCCCTGTAAATAATGTTAGATCCCTAATGATGCAGTTACCAGAATTAGTTTCATTTGGTTGTGTTGTGCTCGTTTGTTTGTTTCCTTTTTTCATAATTGAACGTGTAAAAACACCTTCATTTTGAACCTGATGAAGGTGAACGAAATAGTCCTGATTCGAGACAGAGTTTACTACTGGAGTCGCAAACCCGTGAACACTAAGATTTGATTCTGACAAATCAATTGTGTTCTGAGCAATTATAAAAATAATAGGAAGACAGCCAGAATCACCAAAACCCAAATGCAAATAAGCGTTGCTCATTCATGTGAGTCAATTTTTCTCGCGCCTTTCGACGTTTTCCTTGGAACACGATAACATTTAAAGAGCAGTGCACTTTCATTATTAAAACAATTTTCAAAGTTTTAAAATAAGCCGTTACTCACACATCAGACATCGTGGTGTAGATTCCTCTAAAACCCTCTAATGACATCCATAGCCACGGGATTTTGCCCTGTAATTTTGCGTTGGAGAATGTAAGCGAGGCCTAACCTTCATTATCTATATTTTTGAACATGACGGTAAGTTGTTATTGTTGTTGTTGTTTTTTTAATAGACAGAAGAAATGATAAGTCTTAAAGAAATTGAAAAAACTGACATAACCGCTCATGTACCTCGGTACACTTGATGTACACTCCATCTCGTGAAATGTCACGTGACATTCCGAAATCAGCCACCTTGGCTACCAGTCCCTTGCCGATCAAAATGTTTCGAGCAGCCAAGTCTCTATGAACACACTAAAGCCATGACAAATGAAAGACACAGGAGGTCAACTGAAGCGTAAGTGTGTTTCAAAACTTTAACTTAGAATCGTGGAAACGAGACATATATGTCTTCGTAACGAACAAGCATGCCGCATGCCATGCGGAGTCCGGAAACAAAGTCCAGGTTTAAAAGTTAGGTACTCTGGCTGATCAGAACCTGGCCATTGCAAGAAACTGCTATACTCTTTCAAATTGCGGCGATACAAGTAATTCTTTTTCGGAGCATTAAATGAAACCAGCGTTACTTTTTACGAACGCGCGGTTGCACGAAATATTTAATTTCACAAAACTATGGTAAACTCTCAAGGTCGTAGAAAAGAAAACAACTGAACACGAAAGGTGTTACATGCACTCACCAATTTGCTTTCTAAGTGGCGCATTCCGTTTGAAACATCTGAAGCAATTTGTAGCAGTTCCCTCTCGGACAATTTTGACCAGATGTTGACATAATTTGTATCTAACGCCCTGACAGGAATTCGACTGTCATGCAATATCTGATCAAGACTTCCCCCCGGTACAAATTCAACAACCACATATAAGGGTTCTAGGAACAGAAACAAATGCATTATCGACAAATATCAATAAGATTTACCGTAGGTACGTTTACCACACTTAGTCACTCATTCATTCATTTATATTCAATTATTTATATTTATTGAGAGAAATTTGGTTTACAGGTCACTTTAATTAAACTCGATCCGATCTTTATTCATTTAACTTTTCGTGATGTCTATTTTCTCGACCAAACTCTGTCGCTCTACAAGGGTAAACTCAATCATATCTGATAAGTCACTGCTACAACTTTAAATCATTGTATTCATAGCCGAAATAAGCTTACTTACGTACATATGGAATGGTATATGAACATAACAAGAGTTAAACAAAGCAGTTCTTGCCTATAAAGCTTTATTAGCCTACATTACCTTCAAATGAGCAGGCCCCAACAAGACTCACTATGTTTGAATGGCGACCGACTTTCCGGAGATTTTCTAACTCGTGGATCAGACCGATTCGCTGCTTTTCGTCAGTGTTATCTGCAGAAAAAAGAGCAGAAAAAACGAAGATAAAAAAGGAAAAAATATAAGTCAATCTAGCAGAAATTCACGAAAGGTTTTCCTCTTTTTCTGAGTATAGTCTATTTAAAAGGTTAACCTTCAGAACTGTCTAAATTGCGACCGATTGTATGTAATGGGTTACCAAAGTGTGTCCATCCCATAGAGTATGTGCGGCCAAAACACACAGCTGATTATACAGACAATTTTTATGCGTAAACATATCATACCGAAGGTCTTGAGCCCAAGTGTCCCCCTATTAGTAGACCACTTGTGGTCAACTAGAAGATTTGACACGATAACAAAGTTACTGACTGACTGACTTGAACGTACTTGTTATAAGCACTTAGGTTCGCGTAAGTTTGGAGTAAATGAAGGAGAGGGCGAACTATCACCGATAACTTTTCATTTTGTCCAACCTTTCAACATTTTGACAGCAACAGGCAGTTTCTGTCCATCTCTCCTTGTATAGATTCCTTTTCTCACGACCCCAAACTCTCCTTCACCAAGTTTCTTTTCTGTTATTTTCAGTCTTTCTCGAGGAAGTTCCCAATTTCGATCACTTCCCATTTGCTCTAGATATGTCTCATTATCAACTACCAATACTTCGTCTATGATCGCGCGGGGTATCGGTCTATCTAGCTGTCCTGTAGAAAATTGCCGGCCAAGACTTCTTAAATGGTTGATTATGTCTGTCGTAACTTCAGCCATGTGAATATCATTTTCAACGATCTTCCCCTACAAATAAAAAGAGAATTGAAAGAGAGCTTTCAAGAGCGCCACTCAGAACAGTCGTGATCTAATGAAAACACGAAGTAGCCACGTCAAAATTTAGAAATCAAAGCAAATACACCATAATATGCAAGTATACCTTGTTTAAATTCTTTCTTCTCTTCCGTCTGATTTGTTTTGCAAAAATAACAATGAACGTAATGAATACGGCTAATCCAAGTATACCGACGAATCCCCAGATTATTTTGAAAGGAATTCTGGAGGCTGATTCTTCTATGAAACAAAAAAAATATATATATGATCGACGGGTTTTCGATGATTTCAACCCCAGGGAGAAAAACGTAACAATCAAGCCCCTCATTTTCATATACGGTTATTCTTACAAGCAATTTATTGATTAATAGATTTATAATAAAGATTGAAAAATGCATAAATGAACAAAGCCGAAAGCGAGTGAGTCAAAAGAAGATCCAAGAAACAAGGTGCATGATTAAAGACAATTATAAACACCGCGAACAACGACACATTTTCTGTGGTCCAAAGCCTATACTTTTAGAATCAGTCGATGGGGGTGAAGTTCGGAAAATGAGCCGATCATATTCTTAATTTTCGCTCATCAAATATTTTCGATTAAGCTGGGTTTGTGTGGCCTTCGGACTAGAGCTTGTATTGCATTGTTATGGTTTCTTATCTAAAAAGCGACTGAGACTATCCCTAGAACTCAGGTCCTGTGTGTTGCACTGGCCCATCTCGGGTAAACGACAGCATGGATTCATTAGGTTTCCCTGGCAGTTCGCTGGTTAATTCCCATTGCCACTGAGAGAGAGTAGTGTCGGTAACACAACATAAATACCGTATTTATTCGATTAAGCGCCCAACCTCGAATAAGCGCCCAACCTGAAGGTAGAAAAAGTTAATAAGTGCCCAGCCTCCAATAAGCGCCCACCCCCACCACCCTACTCCCAAGAGTACTTTTTAAGCGCCCAACCTCTAATAAGCGCCCATCTCCCCTCCCCCCCCAAAAGAATAATAAAATACGACGATGACATTGAAGCTGATTGAGAATTATGATAGCTAAAAGAGACTTCTGCAAGGACCAAACAATGAGTTGTTAGTCCTGGGCATAAACCGAACAATAAACAGTTTTTATATGCTTTAATATTTTGTCATGTTTTGTTCTTATTTATTGTTTTGTTACAAAATAAAGTTTTTACTTACTGAAAATGGTGAAAATTCAATAAGCGCTCAGCCTCGAATAAGCACCCACCTCGAATAAGCGCCCAACCTGAAAGTCCAAAAATTAACTAAGCGCCCTGTGCGCTTAATCGAATAAATACGGTACAACCAGTCAGGTCTCGAATCCAGACCCTTTTGCGCGAGTGTCAAACACATTGACAATGATGCCACAGCATCTGTTATAGGCTATGACACAGAACTAACGCTCCAAAAGAGGATGAAAGAAAGAAAGAAAAGGGAAGGAAAAAGGAAAGGAAATACATGACGGATTTACGTGGAGAGAACATTTAGCAAGTGCACTCGAGATAAATCTTCAGGATCATGATGCAAACTAAATCCAAACAAAGGAAATTGCAACGCGGCTACCACGGTGTTTACCTACTAAAGGACTTTCAGTTGATAGTAATTCTCGTGTAAACAACGTGGATTGAGTAAAGTTAGTTGTCGGCCAAGATCTTGTCATGACTTGTCCTCTATTTGATTTGGTGTTTTCTGCTGATGCAACAGTTGTTGATGCTAAAAAAAGAATCAGTAAAAAATTATGATTACTGCGTGTTTACATTTTTAGTGAGTTATTCACGTGGATATCAAAGTTCGCACTATCCCCACGATCGTTGTTCACGGTGGCATTATGTTTGGTCCCACAGACGGGGCAAAACTGTAACTGGAAAGTGCTTATAAAAGAAAGGTACTACATTAATTTACTGCACGTTCATATTTGTAACTTCCACCAACCAGACAATGCAAGACTGTATTTATAAACAGCCTGTTTTACAATTTCAGGTTTTTTTTTTCTGTATTTTACTATATTCACAGAACAATACATTAAAAGAAAATTTGATCCCTAAAAATTTGAACCGCAAAATCCGCAGCAGTGCCGTTCATTTTGCGAGAGCCTCTTACGAGAAAAGTCAGTGCGTACTTGTGTTCATTCTCCCAGCTTCTGTTGGGGAAGACGTTGTTTGTGCCACTCGATTGTCCACAGTCCTGTGTGGCGTTACGGGATCTGTTGTCGACTCTAAAATGAAAGAAGGAACAGAAGTGCTTCTCTCTCCTTCCTCTGCAACCCACCATGGTGGTAAGTACCATTAAAAAAAAGGAATTTGAGTCGACATGTTTTACCATATTCATAAAAGAATACATTAAAAGAAAAATTGAACCCTAAAAATCTGAACCGCAAAATCTGCAGCAGTGCAGTTCATTTCCGAGAGCCTCTTACGAGAAAAGTGAGTGCATACCTGTATGCATTCTCCCAGCTTGTGGTGAGGAAGACATTGTTTGTGACACTCGATTGTCCACAGTCCTATGTGGCGTTACGGGCTCTGTTGTTGACTCTAAAGTGGAAGAAGGAATACAAAGGTAAGGTCATTTCAGTGTCCCCCTTTTTTGTTCTTACCATTTTAACGTCATCTGTGANTTTTTTAATTCACTTCTGAGAGGGTTGTGCTAATGAGGTCCTCTCGGTAGCCTCTCTTTAGCAAATGCGCTTCATTTGTAATTTTCTCCTCAAATATTGTTTGAGAGGAGTTTGTTCTTAGAAGTCTAAGGGTCTCCCCTTTTATGAAGTCTCTTTTAATTCCTTGTGGGTGACAGGAACTATAGTGTGTATACAGAAATGTCTCAGTTTGTTTAAAATGAGTACGCACATCAGGGATTGCGTCTTTTTTGAATCGTTCGCCTTTGTAGATGTACAGCTATTTTTTTCACTGTCTCGATCGTTAAGTTGTCTTGATTGCTTTCAGCTTGCGCCACGCGCTCTGATTCGATCGTACTACAGTTCTTAGTGTTCCCATTTAACACAAAATTGTTTTGGATCTCAAAATATTTTTTTGGATTTGCAAAATATTTTCGGATTTGAAAAAATTTTTTTGGATTTGAAAAAATTTTTTTGGATTCGCAAAATATTTTCGGATTTTGAAAAAATTTTTTTGGATTTCTAAATATTTTCTTGGAATTGCAAAATATCTTTGGATTTGTCAAACTTTTCGACAGTAAGTTTAAAATAAATATTGCGATTTGAAATATTTTACGGGATTTGAAAAATATTTTTGGATTGTCCCTTTTCGGCTTCCGAACTCTGCAATCCACCATGGTGGTAAGTACCATTAAAAAAAAGGAATTTGAGTCGACATGTTTTACCATATTCATAAAAGAATACATTAAAAGAAAATTTGAACCCTAAAAATTTGAACCGCAAAATCTGCAGCAGTGCAGTTCATTTCCGAGAGCCTCTTACGAGAAAAGTGAGTGCATACCTGTATGCATTCTCCCAGCTTGTGATGAGGAAGACATTATTTGTGACACTCGACTGTCCACAGTCCTATGTGGCGTTACGGGCTCTGTTGTTGACTCTAAAGTGGAAGAAGGAATACAAAGGTAAGGTCATTTCAGTGTCCCCCTTTTTTGTTCTTACCATTTTAACGTCATCTGTGATCTGTTACTGAACAGACGTACGGCAACATGGATTCTACTTGTCAATCAAACTTTTTGGGTTAATAACGCATGCCCAATCGTTCATTGTCACGACAGTCCCAATATTTCAACAAAATGATGTGAAAGGGACTGTTTAAAAATCATGAAATGTTTGAAGACCTGGACGCCGAAGTTGTTTAAAGATAAAGGGCTAATAAGACATCTCAGTCAACCAATTTCTTGCAGCGTATAAAGTTTGAATAATTGGGACATTTAAAACAAAATTAACAGTTCTATCAATGTAACATAAATTTTTACATTTGAGACTTTCGCACCTTCTGAAGGTAACCCATTGCCACAATATCGCGATGCACAACTAAGTACTGGCCTCAATTTGTAAACGTAAAACTTTCCACAATTGCGAACTTTGATGAAAGTTGAAAACAAACAGCAATCACCTCTCAAGTCAGTTGACCAATGGAAACACACTCTGCGTTCAACAGCACCTTCAGCTAAAGTAGGATGAGCCCCACTGAGCCAGCCAGGAGCAAAAGTAGCACAACGTTTTTTGCTGACACAGTGTTCAGGCATTTTAAAGCCAGCCTCTCCACTGAATCTGTACCATCCAGAAAGTGCTCTGTCACAAAGGTACATGAAGGTATTCGGCTCGTATGTTGCCGCCCTGTTTGATTCGTTCAGTAACTTGTAAGTGGAACATTCTAGAAAGGAAAGCGAGGTTTGAGAAAATGGTGGTAAGTGGAAAATGAGAGTTAGAACGCCTATTTTAAGGTCCATTTGAAAGTCGAAAAACATGATTCTTTGAAAAGCAATTGTCCGATATTGAGTAATATTACGGTCCCAACTGAGCAGGGTTTTAAATTTGCGTAACCGTTGAGTTTTCTCTCAACTTGTAGATTCATAATAGACCATCTATTAATGCTAAGATATTCTCGAATTCTTGCATCAAAACCTCTACCCCTCCTCTCATGTGTCAGAGGGGATGTAAGTTAGCTTTCGTTCCTTAGAGTGAAATTGCAAACAGTGGCTATTACCAGAAACATTTCAGCTGTGGCCGATTACCAGCAATCACTAGAGGGAAGATTGAGCCAAGAATTACATAAAATCATATCTTGTTACCAGGTGTTAAAAACTACTATAAGCACCATTCGCCCTCAGACTTCGCGGCGGGAGGCCTAATTGGTATTTGCTAAATTGACTTGCACCTCAGTGATTCGATTTAGCGCCCGGGGCGCCTATTCAATTTTGGTACCTCAAGTGGGGGCGCTTATTCAAGAGAGGGCGCTTATTTTGTTTTTATTTTGTTTTTTTCGTTTTTGAGAAACAGCAAATCTAGATTGTGTGAAACAAGCTTTGAAATTTATTTGAAAAGAATAAAGAAGACTGAAAAACGAAATTGGAACATTTACGGCAAAAACACTGAACTAGTCAAACAATTGTCACAAGATTTTAATACGAGATCATTCGTTGGGAGGAACTGTTGTACTCTGATCACATGGACATAATTGTTGAGAGAGTGAGACAAAGACCTCAGTCTCGGTAACGAGGCCTCAAGATGGACCATGGTTCATCTCAATGTGCATGGGCACTAACAGTGCCGTCACTGAAACGGAGTTAGGGTGCTTATTGGAATGGGAACACTTACTCAATGAGACAATTATTAACAAAAAGCCAAATTCGAGAGGGGGGGAGCTTATTAGAGAGGGAGAGCTCATTGGAACGAGTGCGCGAAATCGAATCGTTATGGTAATCCTGAAATTCGCACAACTACCTTGCTCTGAGTATGATCCGTTGCCACAGTAACGCAAGTCACACTGGGGTGTCTTCTTAAGCTTGTAAACATAAAACCCTCCACAATTTCGGACAAGGACATCTGTAGACCATTTACAGCAGTTACCGCTTGGTGAATGGAAGCACACTTTCCTTTTGACAGCTCCATCTTCCACCATGGGGTGTGTTCCGTTTAGCCATCCCGGTACAATTGTGCCACAGTGTCTTAAGTCAACACAAGATTCTGGCATTTGTTGTCCAGCCTCTCCTCCAAATCTGTACCAACCAGTTGTTAATGTTCTGTCGCACAGGGATCTTTTACCTCTGTAAAACGTCTGCGCCCTGTTTGACTCATTGAGAAAACTGTAATTTGAACATTCTGCAAGATAGAGTGCATTTCGATCTGGTGTCGTAATACCAAAATCAAAGTCATCACACCAGCTAGTCAGATATAGGGGAGTGT